TCTTCACCAATGTTGATCGTGATTTGTTCAGGCATAACTCTCGTCTTGACTTTGCCCGTCTTTGGATGATCACCTCGGCCGCGGAAAAGACCAGGAGGTTCAACTCGGAAGTTGCCAACCTTTTGTTTCTTGCCATCCCAGACGCAGTACATGTACGGCGCTTCGGCTTCGTCTTTTGCTAATTTGATAGCTTTCTTCTCCTCCTTGGACAAGGCCTTTTTCGCCGCCCTTTCCGCTTCGTAGTGGTCGAAGATTGGTCTGAAGTCGCATTTTGAGAATTCCTTGATCTCTACCTTCTCCCCATTTCTGTTCTTTGCACCGCCAGTCTTCTTTAGAATGTCCTTGAAGTCACTGAAGAAGTTTTTCTGGAAGGTAGGATTTTCCACGTTGTGCGTCGAGTTGAGCATGCTACCAAAGAAACCAGCCACTTCCTCTGCATCGGGATGGAGGGTAATGGGTTCACCGTCGTATTTCATCTTGACATTTGGAGGAAGTGGTTGGTAAGGGGGTGGGAAGACGACACCATTGTGCTGCAAAGTCTCCCACTTGTTTGTTCCATCGCCCTTAGTTGGATCCTCCCACCACTTGACTTCGTCTTCTTCGTCGTCTTCCTCCTCGGGATCGGCACTCTCTTCCTTTTTGATTACCTTGGATTTCTTCGCAGAAGCAGGAGCTTCTATCTTAACCTTTTTAGCAGGTTTAGATGGTTCGGCTTTCGTTTTCTTGGTAGCGGCTGTAGATGCACGTTTTGATAGAGGCTTTTCGTCGTCACTGGATTCTTCCTTTTTTACTCTCTTTGCCGGGACGGCCTTTTTGGGTGCCTTCCCAGTCTCCTTCTCCTCTTTTCGAATCTGCTTTGCTTCCTTTTCTGCTGCTTTTTCGATCTTCTGCTTTTGCTTGGCTAGCTTCTGGCCAAGAGGCACGTCTGAGTCGGACTCTTCACCAATTTGATGAGCCGAAACTCGAGGGGGCTTCTGCACAACTTTGCCGTTTGCCTGGGCCTTGGAAGCGAGAGGGGCGTCGTCGGAATCTGAATCAACAGCGGTTGAGACCTTTCTCTTTTTGCTCTGCATCCACATCAGCCGGGATGTTCTCTCAAGAGGCAGATTCTGGAATATTGGGATCGCATACCAGTGGTAAGTCGTCGTCGCTGCTTTCAGGCTCGGCGTAAGATGGTCGCGTGAGACTCTCCCTGGCCTTGCGTTTTGCGGCAGCGACGCCATTGGGGGCGCTATCCTTGTTGCCAGGTGGTGATAGCTCTTCTACCTTTACCTCTCCATTGGCCATGGAAATACCCGGCACGACCTCGCCGTTGGTGGGAATCTGACGATCCATTGCAGCGTCAAGTGAGGACGGGATTTTGGAGGAAGATAGAGGAGGCGTGACTGCTTGTAGTGTCAGTTAGGTGACAAACGTTGAAAAGCGAATGATAGAAAGTTGAGAAAACAAACGCGAACGAGGATGCCTGGAGCCATTGGTTGCAACAGGGAGAGCGTACCTCCGTTGGTGCCGTTTACCCTCCTTGAGCCCGCGAGGGGCATATCATCGTCGGAAGAATCCATGAGGCGCGTGGGATAAGAGATGGGGCGCAGTGACCTCGCGAAAACAAATTGTAGAGGTGGAACAGCAAATAATAGAGGTGGACGTGAGTAGAAATGTGAGGCAACGGATTGAAGTGACCTCCAAAACGCGCCTCGGAAAATCGGAATGGTGGGCGAGACCTTGATAGCGACGAAGGGAGACCGTGCCTGTGGTTGGTATTCGAGGAGGCGAGCGAGGGAGATGCCGAAGAGTGACTGAATGACAAGTTGAGTTGGTATTTAAGAGAGAGACAATGAGAGAAGAGGAAAGAAGAGGTGAAGGGAAAGGAATGAGAAGAATGGGAATGGGCGAGGCCGAGTAGCAAAATAGAATGAGGGAAAGTCAGAGAGCAGCACAGTCCACCACTTATCCACTCACTTCATTCGTGAGGCTCGTTCTGGGAGGGAAGAGGGAGAGGCAACAGGCCATTGAATGCCCACTTCCGATTCGGTTGTATCGACGATTTTGCTCTTCAAGAGCACTAGTCCCAACTAGGCTAGCGTGTCTTCCCACCATGAAGCTCTGATCGGAACCTCAGTTTGTTCATTGACCAGCTGCCCTCGCATCACCCGAATCTCCTCTCCCTCAACATCCACTCCATCTCTCCATCACATCACTGCTCCCTTACGGCCTCGTGGTCAGCCCAGTTGCACCATGATGCTGTCCAGAGCTGTGAGACCGGCCCTCGTGGCTGGCAATGCCGCCCTTGCAAAGTGAGTTCAATCGGGTGCAAAATCTCAGGAGCTAGAATAATCCTGACTGATGTATCATTAGGACGGCTGTTCCCCAGGTCGCCGGTTATGCCACGCTACGAGAAATCGAGAGTATGGAATTTGAGACAGGAAGCTCGATTGCGATCGCTAACGGTGCGCAGGTCGTCTCAAGTCCATTCGAAACATTGAAAAGATCACAAAGACCATGAAAATCGTTGCCTCGACCAAGCTTACTCGTGCTCAAAAGGCCATGACCGAATCGAGATCCTATGGGCAAACGTCAAACAAGGTCTTTGAAGAGGCGGAAACCAAGCCATTGGAGGAGAAGAAGACCCTGTTGGTTGTTGCCAGCTCCGACAAAGGCCTCTGCGGTGGTATCCATTCCGGACTGTCGCGTACCGCTCGTCGAATGCTGGAACAGGACCCCAACCTCGACATTGTCATTATTGGTGAAAAGTGCAAGGCCCAAATTGGTCGTTCCAACCCCAGGAATGTTTTGTTGAGCTTTGCTGGTATTGGAAGAGACGTGCCTACCTTTGCCGATGCCCAAGCTATTGCCGACCAACTCGTCCTGCTCCCGGAAGAATACGCCAGCGTCAAGATTCTCTACAACAAGTTCATCAACGCTCAGAGCTATGAGCCTGTCACGGTCGAAGCATATTCCGAGGAGGCCATCACTCAATCTCCCAACTTTGCCGCTTTTGAGATTGATGACGAAGTTCTCGCCAACCTCCGAGAGTATGCCTTGGCCAACTCTCTCTACTGGGCTCTTGCCGAAGGCCATGCCTGTGAACAGTCCGCCAGACGGAATGCCATGGATGTGAGTTGTCGTCTGATATCTGACGTTGATACTTGCGCTGACACAAGGTTTTAACAGAACGCGTCCAAGAACGCCGGAGACATGATTGGCAGATTTACTATCTTGTACAACAGAACCCGACAAGCTGTCATTACCGGAGAATTGGTCGAGATTATCACTGGTGCCACTGCCTCGGAAGACATGTAGGCTTCGTTTCAAAAGAGAAAGTTGTACATAACTGCCCACCCTCAATTTTTTACTGTTATCAAAGAAGACTATTCCAGATTTCATGCACGGCTTTTGTGTCAATGAGCATCTTCTCGTGGTGCAGGTGGCTTCTTGCGAAAGTCTTGATGTTGCTTACATTTGCCGCAGGTAATGCACTTGGTCGGCATTGTTTCCATCCTTTCCTGCCGTGCTGTGAATTGAATGAGATTCTTTGTTTGCCGCTGCCTCACCAAGATCCCACACTAGTCACTACAGCGTGAATTCTCGCGTCTAACCAAAGTCATCAAGTCGAGCATTCCCCGTCCCGGTTTTGAAACACCTTCATTAAATCTTGACGTACTCCGTCAACATGAGCAGTGTTCATTGCGACGATGGCTTTTCCGACCACCAAATCTCCCCGGAAACACGACGATCACTTCGCATAGAGCAGTTCTCTCCCATCCGACGGGAAAAGGTTGAGACTTGGTTTGAAGGCCCAAGCAGATTCTGCTTATCACCCGACGCAGACGGCGAAGTTGAGGACTGGGTCGACGAGATTCCGGACGGACATGAGACTCCCGAAACGCATCCTGACGTGGGCCACTTACTCAGCAGCATCCCCGGCGCATGGATAGGGCCTTTCACGATTGCAAGTAATGGGGGCGTCGAAACATACAGCAGTGGTGCGCGTGACGATGAAGAGCTCGGAGTCCGAAGGACACACAAATCTACGACTCACGACAAGGGCGTCGCGTCTGTCGTCGACCATACCGAAAACCAAGTGTCGGTCCTCTCGATAATTGCTTGCGTCTCGACATGCGTCCTATTCATCGGCAACCCTCGTCAGTTCCTCGACCTTGTCCTCCTATGTCTTCTTTTCGCATCACTCCCTCACTTCGCCCACCACTCGAAATATTGCCTGCTTATCGCCATCGCTTTCCCGGATTTGAAAGTCAAACTCAAGTGTGCGATGGTTTTCGGCTGCTTGGCCATATGGGAAAGACTTGACTTATTGGATGCTGGGAGAGGGTGAGAGATATCAAAGAATCATGGAATGAGAATGGGGTAAGGATTAAGCTGAGCACCGGGGATTTTGGAGCTGCGTCACCAATAGCAAGAGGCAAAGGATATGTGCTGGGTTGTTTGGCGGAAGAGATGGTGCTGGCGGTTTCATCACGCAGATCAAAGATGGAATGGGAGGTAAGTCTCCAAGGACTCAAGGATGTCCAAGGGTGGTCTCGACTGTTGGCCCATGATCTGATATCATGGCCTCTCGTTAGTATCTAGCCTGGCAAGTGCTGTACACAAGAAATGGTTCCCCTTCAACATGTCATCGACCACTGACTGACCCATTCCAGAAGCCTGGCAGCTTCACCATCTCTCCTTGTTGTTCTTTGTTCGATCTCGAGTGATCAACTGTCCCTGGTAGAAGGGTAGGCAGGCAGAGCTGACTGCCTTGTCATGACCCATCAAAGGCGAGCTGCCTCTACCAAGGCAGCTCCGAGAGAACTGCCTGCTAACATCATACTGCCTTGGCCGGCTGGGGTTATTTCCCGCCACGGACTTATCCCATTCTTACTTTCTCGATCTATCGCCAACACTCGGAAACCCCATACACGCAACCTTGGAAAGAAACACCCCAGCATCTCCCGACCCGGACTTTCCCTCGGTGACTACACTTCCTCGACGCCGACACCGCCATGCCGTACAAGATCCCACAACCCTACCTCGTCCCACGCAAGCGAAAGTGTGAGGAGGTCCCCATTTACGAGGTGTCTGGAGGTGCCAAAATCGTTGCTCATTTCACCGTTGACGCGCTCAACCGGCACTATCGAGACAAACGTGTGCCTCTCGTGCCGGACGTACCGTACCCGATCCCCAAAGAGACTGGCTATGTCGGGGTTTTTCAGAGATGGCTTCACGCGGAGCCCTTGGACCTCACAAAGCATGTTGCCTGGTTCTGGAATGCGCTCTTGTACACGGGAGATGAGATCCGCGAAAACTGCAGGAAGGGAGACCCGGCCGCTCTGCGTCCGCAGATCGAGGAGTTCGTCCAGCATGCCGACCGAGTCTATCAAGACATCATGACTGAATCAGCGTGCTCGCCCGTCCGGAACTATATGCGGAAGATGCCCCTAGAGAGAGCGTACCCTGTCTATCGCCAGGTCATCCTGGACATGATCCCATCACCACCACCACAACCACCACCACCATCGCTGTCGTCGGCACCGCTACTATTGCTAGACGCTCAGCATGACAACTGCCCTGCAAGCCCTGTTACCCCTGCGACACCGATGACCCGCCGTCCCCAAGGCCTTGGGAAGCTCAGACTCTACATCTCGGTCACGGTGACAATCCTCGCAGTGGCCCTCAAGGTTTTATTTGTCGTTGCCATTCTCTGCGTAATTTCCGTCTATCTCGTGTCCGTGGCTCTCTATGCGCTCGGATTCCACACGATTCGCTCTCCCCTTGGTCTTTGCGTCGTGATTTTGCCTCTGTTGTGGGTGTCTGGGCGAGCGAGATGAGTGTGACGTGAGATACGAAGCTCCCTTTTCCGATGTCTGTGAAGAAATGTGTCTTTCCCGACGATGTGCATCGTTCCTATCTCATCTATGGTGAAGTGAAGCGAGTCCTGCTCACCAAGTTTGGAATCCATCAGCCTATGCTGTCCGTGTTGGTGAGGTGTGGTGCGGTGCAGTGAAGTGCGTGAAGCCAGGCTAGCTGATGAACAAAACCCAGCAAATAATGCCCACAGCACAGAGATTTCTTTGTTTCTTTATTGCTTTCTTTGGTGGGTATCTCAGTAATATTGTTCCGGATGGGGACAGAGGAAGGGAGTGGACGGTCATAGGTTAATTCTGCAGGTTTCGTTTATCTAGTCTAGGCATTGTTCGTCACCTGGACTAAGGGCAAAGACAAAGGAGATATGTGGGCGTGTGTTTCATTTCAAATCTCGGGTTTGTGGGAGAGTATGTGGAAACAGGGTACGGAAGTATGTCATGTCAAAAGCACGGCCAGGGACACGGATCCAGATCCAGATCCGCATGTGGACAGGCATAGGGACTGAGACAGGAACAGACGCTCAGATAATATGTTGATCCTGCACGTCTATCGACCAGGTCCTATTACATACAATAGGATCTCATCAAATTCAGAGTGATGACCATCAATGCGAGCATGAAATGTGAACATGGACATGAATATGATTATGAATTGCCATGGCCATTCAATGCCAAACCCATTCAAGATGAAACCCGATCAAGGTTTTACTTGCATTGTGGCATTCATTCTCTCATTCAACAAACTCCTATTCTCGCTCAGCCTTGCGCGACTCCAGCTATCATCACCACCAGCACTCCACAATCCCAACTCCCTCTGAACAACAACAATATTCGATCGATATTGGGTGTTCATTCTCTCGTCGTTCGTCTGTACAAAGACCTGGATTCCAGGGTAGGCAGACAAGTAAGTAGGCAGGATGATAGGCAGGTCCGTAGGCTCTGTCATGCATGCATGCATGCATGCGTGCGTGCGTGTTTGATCCCGTCCAGGTGTCCAAGCAAACTTCTGTATTCTCCAGGTCTCCGGATCTCCTCTAGGTCATGATAGATCTCGTTGGCTCTGAAATGGACCTTATTGAGGCAAACAATACAATACAATCTCAACATATTAATATGTGATATTAAAACACCTTTGCCCTTTTCTTCTTCTCCTTCTCTCTTTTCTCTCTTCCATACACTTCCATCGTTCGATCGTGAGGTGGTTCAAGTGATCTCCTTGGTCTGAATCTCTAGAGCTCTTCGCCCTCAACTCAGGAAATTTTTTCTGAGAGAATCTTTCTGCTGCCACTCCATGGAGGACACACGCTCTGACGATACTCCCTCCAAATACGTCGTGCCGCAGCTGAGACAATATCCCGCCAGAAAGCATCACATCATTCCCACAGCAGAACTTCCGTCCCGCTTCGACGTACTGGATCCCGCCAACGAGGCTTCTCGCAACTTCGGAACCCACGGTACCGCCACAACTGACACCCTGGAGTCAGCGTCGTCCCTTGCGGCCTATCCAGACAAGGATATGGCTCACCCCGCAAAGGACACCACGACACTCACCGCCACCTCGGCCCAAGCACCGGCAATGAACACGGTCTTCTCCCATGCAGACCACTCGCAACAGCATCCAGTCATCGCATTCAAGAAGCTCTTGCCGACCAGTCTCAAAGTAGTCGACCCCGACTTTTACCTCGTCCTCTTCCAAGAGCAGCTCGCCGTGCAGACCAAGGAGATGACACTGGCGGCCAGGCGTACCGGCAACCCACCTCAAAACCTTGTCGCACCGCTTGCGTACATCCGAGCTTTGGCTCACACGGTCGACCGAATCAAACAGCCGCGGCAAGACAACACGCTGGTGACGCGGGCGCGGAAATATGAACAGATTCAAAACCTTCTTGACTCACTCGGAGACGAAATCGAGAGGGCGTCGAGGGACTACCCAGATCACCAAGGCGAAGCACCATCTCAAGACGACGACCTTCAGTATCTCATCACCTGCTGTGACTCTGATCTCCGAGGGCAACTCGAGGCGTTGAAGCCGCAGCAGGCTAGGAGTCGCGTCAGTTTTGGTACCATCGTGATCTTGGTCGTTGTACTGGCGTTGTTGACCTTCTCTAGGCCGTTCCTTTCGAGTATTAGGGTTATAGGGGCTCGACTGCCTTGATCCTGAGCGATTCTGCTTCTCGGCGTTTGTCTGAAAGGCGCAAGTGATAAAGGAGCCTTCGCGACATGAGCGAGCAGAGAACATCAGGGAGAAAGCGGCGCAATTTGCCCGACTCGGAAGAGAGCATGGATAGCCGGCGAAATGAAGTGCCTGAGTTGCAACAACAAATGCAAACGATTGAGCTCGAAGTCATAGGAGTACTGTCTGTGGCGCGTGGAAAGGAACCGATGAGCTGGGGATGCCTTATTAGCAAGGCTCTGTGGTATCGTTACGTAGCATGTCCGTCAAGGTCAGTCAGTCGGGCTAGACTGGAGGTCTAGGAGAGTGTGAAAGAGTGCTGTGCACGAGAGGATCTGGCGAGAGACAAAATATGTTGGATCGCGAATGAATTGCTGGTTGGAAAGAGAAAAGGTCGGCTTGTTGATTGGTTTCATCGAAGGTAGCCGGCGAGAATGCAACATGCATTTAGTGTGTGTCACATTCGTATTCTCTGACAGCATTTCATCGACAGTCTAGTTGCGAAAGGACTCGTCAGCTTTCATTCGCTCGATTTAGGAGTGCTGCTTCTTCTGGACTGCCTGCTGCCGTCGGTGCTGTTCCTCTCCTGCTGTTGCATCCAAACATGATACCAAAAGTCCCCCTTTTTCTTGCTGCCTCGCCGCGCCACTTCAAGAAGCCGCGCCAGCACCCATTTAGGCTCGTCCTCCATGCTCATTAGAGGGCTTTCTTGTCCAAGCCAACTCCACTTCTGGTCATCCTTCTCCCTCACTGGAGCAGCAACACTGGTGTCGTATTCCCACGGGTGTCTATGGCCGACTGGAAACGATTCGTCCTCGTAAATGAGCTTCAGAAACCACGTCCATTCCTCGTACGTGTATTTCCTCGGGGGTTGCGCATCGAGGTGTTGCACGACATTCTGCATCTCGCGCAAAAGTATGTGAAGTCTGTATGCAGACAAGAGTGCCTGCGCTTCTTTCTCGTCTTCTGGCCTTGCATCTGTTCCCGGAGCATTGTTTTGCTCCCGCCCACCCAGTGCCTGGATCACCTTGGCGACGTTCGGATCATCAAAGTCGTACTCGAGAGCAGCTTCATCGTCCATGAACCCTGGTGGCTTTGCTTCCTGGAAAGCACCTTGTCGATTCCGTTTCTTCTCTGCCGCTGCCTTTGCCCCCCTTAGTATACTCAGGCTCTCGGGTGCATGTTTACTAAGCCATAGTGTTGTAGAAGCCACGATATCGGAGATGGTGTCCCCGATTGCGCCAATCAGGACGGTCAGTGTCGGAAGTGCAATCAAAGACCAGAAGACAAAAGCAGGCTTGCCAGAATTTGTTTGAGGGTAAAAGTCGCCATATCCAATCGTCAAAAGAGCGACATAGGTGAAGTACAAAGCCTCGAAATACGACCAATCTTCCCCACCAGTGGCAGACTCCGCTTGCCAGAAAACCACTGCGCCAATGAACCATAGGATGAAAAAAGATGTGCCGGAAATCGAAAGGGCGATCAGCCGGTTGGTGCGCGCGGCTTGTTTCTGGACGTTACGCATGATTTGGAACTCCAGCTTTCGGCGATCGAGTTCCGACCCACGACGATCGCCATCGAGATTTTGGCATCCAGAGCCCTGAGGTGCGAGCTTGGTAGTCTCACTACTGCCTGAAGTGAGCACTTTACGACGTGCCTTCTCCACCATTCGAGTGGAAATTTTGCGAGAGCCCGATTCGAGGACAAGCGTGCGGATTGAAGCGATGATCAGACCGACAAAAAGAATACCGCCAATCGCCATGGGAAAGAACAACGACCGCCCCAAATGTGTGACAGGATGGTAGTCTCCGAGTCCAATTGTAAACAAAGTCACATTGACAAAGTAGACGGCATCGAGGAAATCCCAGTTTTCGATTCGAGAGTAGACTGCGCCTGCGGCAAGCAGGTAGCTGACAAAGAGGATAGTCTGGAGCATGAGCGAGCGTTGAGACATGGTCAATTTGAACGATCGGCTAAACTGTGGCGCACGGTATCGCAGGTTGATGTGGGTGACGAGAAGCATGGACGCGAGAATGAAATAAATAACGCAAGCGAAGATGGCATAGTAGAATGCTTGAGAGTATGTTGCTAAAGTGTCGGCCGGCAACGGCAATTGTTTCGGAGTTGCAGCAATTATGCCTAGCAGGAGCAGGGAACTGGTGTACCAGCCAGCAATGGTGATGGGAGAAGCTCGTTGGTGCGAGATTCGGTCCGTCATTTGAGCCAACAGTGCTAGATTCGCAAGGATGGCAATGGCGAGGCTGACCCCGTTGACAGAGAGGAGCCAGGGGGGATCGGAAATGTGTGTGCCCTCTGACTCCGTCGAACTTGAGCTGACAGTCGTCCGCCAGTCAATGGCAAGGGCACAAATGTTGAAAGTTGAGGCCAGGGGTCCGAATGTCCCAGCGATGAGCGGAAACAATGTCGACACCATCCACCAGCTAATGGGAGCCTAGGAGGATTGATGAGCGGATTGTTCAAGCATGACTCGAATATAGACAATCCACTTGGTTATGGCAAGAGACCAGCAGCACTCACATTGAAATCTGTTACAGCATCCTCCTCGTCCTCGTGGATGTATTGTTTTGCCTGTTCAGGCTTTGGGATGTTGATCACACCATTCGGCCGCGGCGTACTAGAACCGTGAGGACTGCTGGCATCGTGGTCAGTATGTTCAGTGCCGGCGCTTGGTTCATCCATCTGTTAGGGAATCGAGGTTTGGAAGATAGAGGCTGAATAGACCGGAAGCCATCACAGGAAAGGTATATAAAGGTTGCCGGTGCGTAAAGCTGGCACTGCCACTGTCGTCATTGTGCGAAAATGAAGAGCCTTGCAGATGATCGTCGCTGAAAAGGAGACAACCTTGTGGCGATGTGTCGGAGTATGTCGCATTCTCGACATAATAAGCCATCTGGGAGACATGGCACAACAAGGTTGTGAAGAGACTAGAGGGCATTTACCCTGCGCTTCCGCTAAGGCTTTAGCATAAAAATCTGTGGTGACAATAGTGATGAGCCTCTTGGTGGTTGAGATTGGAATGGGCAAGGGAGGAAATAATCACGTGAACAACGGCTGTAAGAATATTACGTCATAGTAGGGCAGCACCATCATATCACGTGTCACGCATACTTTTCCTATTCTGGCATATCAACAGACGTCCTCCTTTTTCACTGAAGAGTCTCTCTCCTCTTAAAGCAGTATGAATCTCTTCACTGTTGACATCTAGACAAATATCGATAGTGGCCCTCTCATTTTTGCGACCTCGTAGAGAATTGAGGCGTCCAGAACCTTATTTTTGGCCAAACAGCATTTCCTGAGACACAGCCTTGTGCAAGCCTGCAGGTCTCTCCTCCCACTAAGAAGCAATAATGCGTCTCTATCCTAATAAAAGCTGTTTATGTGATTGTTCCATTGCATGCGGCACCTGGTGTCGCTATAACTGACTTCTTCGTCAGTTTTATCGCCGGACGCTTCAATGTTTGTTTTGCTCCCGGTGTGCCCCAGCGGCCCAGCTTCACTCTCTTTCACTATAGCACTCTACCATTCTGCACTCCTCTGTTTACAAACGCGTCAGACATGTATCACTCTGACTTGCGCCTCTGCCTATTACCAATGCCAAGACGTTGAGATGTGCACGCAGTGTGTCCAAGGCAGTGCGTTAGCCTGCCGCATCGCGTCGTTTATATATCCGTCCTACCTTTGATCTTTAATACTTTCTTCTACAGATCTCTTCTGTCATTCAAACAAAGAAGACAACATCGACACTCATCTTTGCAGTCCTCACAGCTTTGAAAGATATTGGTCTCTCACCCTCTATCTTACCATCCTCATATCAAGATGTCTTCAGCAAACGTCACCCAGTTTGTCAACACACTGCGTGAGCAGACACGCCGGTTCATCGCTGAACTTCCTGATCGGTCATTCAAGCTCCCAGAGATACCACCCATGATTACTGTAGGTTGCCCCCATATACTGCAATGTTCTAGATGACGTCTTGTCCATCTCTTGAGATTTGACGTTATGAGGCCTGCTTCTGTCGTGTGACTATGTGTGAATCGACTCACTAACTTCATGGATATGTAGGATGACGAAGACCTCGTCGTAGCAAATCTACGTCTTGTTCTCCGCTACTTGAAGCAGGTCAACAAGTTGTGTAAACGTCAAGCCGCCACTGACTCCTCTATGAAAGTCTTGCAACATCGTGCTTTAGTCAAGCAATTTCATGACGTGGGTGATTGGTCTGCAAAGCTTCCACCACCTTTTGAAACACCTGAAGCTGTGAAGGAAGTGCCGAGACAAACCCCTGCAGAGGAGAGATTGAAACGATTGATGAGTATACCTTGGCCAACCAAGCATCCATCTACCCCTACCCCAACTCAGAGTGCCAGTACTAGTTTGCCTCTCCCGGGTGCCGGTGGCTGCAACAATGAGACGCCTGGCAGTCCAGTCCATTCCGAAGAAGTTGGCGCAAGTGAGAGAAAGACTGTCGCTCGTGACACTATCCAGAATGAACCAGACGCCACCTCCCGAATTGACAACAACATGCCGAGTGAAAACTGTGCAAAGGCTGACGCAAGCATTGATGCTGGTATTGCCTTGAAATTCCAGGGAACTGACAGTGATATTGCTAAGGCTGACTCACCACCACCACAACCACCAAGTGAACTTCGGTCGTTTCGCTTCAGACACGCGTCAGACCCGCTCCAGGTGAAGACTTCTGAGATCGACAACTACGCGCACCAAAAGAATCGTGCCGTCTCACTTCCAGTCAAATGCGAGGATCCGATGCAGTCTTGCTTCTTGCGCTGGAGTGGCGAGACTCTGGAGGAATTCATCCGTGGTGTGGAAGTCGACGATGCCAAACATGTCAACAAACAGAGATGGCTGTTCCTCATTCAACAACCTGACGCCGTTGCATTCCTCGGCAGGTGGCCTTCTCCAGCCCAATTGAAGGATTTCATGCAGATGTATCGTCTTGAGTGGGTCGTTCGAGTGCGTGGCAAGTGGGATTGGGAGCCCAAGCCAGTCGCTGTCCAAGAGTCCGTTGATTGTTATGCGAACAGCGTTGAAGAGTTTCCCGCCGACCGTGATGTCGTCAGCAGTGTTGACCAAGCCGCTGTTGACCAGGACGGTGTTGAGAGTAGCAAGGTGGCGGACACTGCTGAGTGCAATGACGACAACAGTGTCATCAGCCCTGCCGAACCGAGCCAGGACTCTACCAAGGATACTTCCAACGACGAGCAACCAGTCCTTGACACCCCGAAGATCAATGGGTCACCATCAGAAGATGTTGTGACAGACACTACTGCGAACGATGCTGATAGCAGTGCCGTTGACCCTGCCACATCAGTTCAAGATGCTCCTAAGGACACTCCCAACGACGAACAACCAACTTGTGACGACTCGGATGTTAACGAGTTGCCATCAGAAGTTCTGGGTACGGAGGATCTTACTGAGAACAATAAGGAGATCAATGAGTCACCATCAGAAGATATCGTGGCAGACACCACTGAAAGCGATGGCGAGGCCAGTGCCTGTGACCACAACACACTGGTTCAGGATGCTCCTAAGGATACTCCCGACGATGAACACTCTGTCCCTGACGATTTTGATATGAACGAGTCCCCACTAGAGGATCCAGTTGCGGAAGAACCAACTACTGGGAACTGCAACGAGAATCACGACGAGAACAACGAGATCAATGACGGACAACCAGTTCTTGGCAACTCAGATGTAACTGAGTCTACATCAGAAGACCTTGTTACAGAGAAGACCCCTGAGAGTAACGATGAGATCAACGACGAGAAGATTGAGATGAACGATGAACAACTAGTCCTTGATAAGTCGGATACGATCGAGTCCATGTCCGAAAATCTAGCGGCGGAGGAACCTGCTGAGAACAACAAGGAGATCAGCGACGAGAAGAGTGACATCAACGACGAACAACCAGTCCTTGATGAGTCGGATACGTTTGAGTCTCCACCAGAAGATACGATTGCGAAGGAATTTACTGAGAACCGCAATGAGATTAACGACGAACAGCCGGCTCTTGATGACATCGATACAAATGAGTCTACATCAGACCATCATGTTGCAGAGAAACCTTCTGTGAGCAACGACGAGATCAACGAGATCAACGACAAACAACCAGTCCTTGATAGCTCGTATATAAACGAGTGCTCATCAGAAGATCTGGTTACGGAAGAACCCACCGAGAAGACCACTGAGAACATTGTCTGTAGCCCTGTTGCATTGGCACAGGACATTACCAAGGACGTTTCTATCGAAGAACAACCGGCTCTTGATGACTCGGGTACGAGCGAATCTACACCAGAAGAGGTCATTGTGGAGGAACCAACTGAGAACGACGGCGAGAACAGTGTCATCTACCTTGGAGCACTGGTTCAGGACGCTACCAAGGACATTTCCCCCAACAATCAACCAGCTCTTCACAACTCGGATATGAACGAGCATACACCAGAAGATCCTGTCGTGGAGGCAGCTATCGAGGACAACTACGAGAACAATGTCTTCAGTCCCGTCGCACTTGTACAGGACTCCACCAAGGATTCTTACTACGAACAACCGACCATTGACATCTCGCAGACCAACATGTTTGCATCAGACGATCTCATTGCGGCGAAACCTGCCGACGCAGTCGCGGACAGCCCTCCTTGGTCCACCACAGCCATCATTACCGGCGTCGCTGCGTCAGCAATCACCGCTTGCACCTTCTGCCCACCGCTCTGTGTGATGATGCTCTATGTTGGCATATCATATGCTAGGGCAAAATTGTGGCAATAGGCGGTCTCCATCACCAATCAGCGAGATTTCAAACCCCAAAATTCTTGTGTTCTATTTTTGCCTGGAGAATGTGTTGAGTTGTTCAGTTTACAAGGTTACGCGTGCACTTTAGGAAAACACGGTTGGTAATACGATCACGGCTCGCAGTGTTCAGTGTTGGGCACGATGCATCCCCGCCACCAGGTCGGGAGGGGGTCTGGTTGTCTGATAAATCATTTTGAGAGAGTATCGAAGTCTCTGACCAGCAGGAACAGGGTGGTCAATAATGCAATAATGGGAAGGAGAGGTCAACAAAAGCACATTGGGTTTACAGAAAATGGTGTCAAATTGTGGATTTGCTTGAATTGGATGAAATCCAGGTATTGGAGTTTGCAAAGGGCACAGCAAAGCTGACCACCAATGTACTCGGTACATACATAGATAATCAGCAGAGAATCAGACTGCGGGTTCACGACCACCAACTTGGATGTCCGTATGTATAGTCCATAGTCGTTAGCCTGCTCGAGAATAAGAGTGGTTTCAAAAGCGCAGAGTCTGTGTTAACAGTGCTTCCAACTGTGTCGCCGCTCCAAAAGCTACTTGGAGCAACGGTCGTTTGCGGTGCTCGTCACGCCCAGTCGTGATGGATATTGCACCCCATCGAACAACCAGCCAACGCTCACCTCTGTGCCCCGAACTCGCTATGTGATGTTTAACCAACACCTCAGCTCTCTCTCTCTCTCTCTCTCACACACACACTGGGCACAGACTGTCCAAGGCTTCGTAGCTCAGATACCCCCATGAAGAAGTGCCATCTATGTGAAGGCCTCTCAGGCCCGGTGAAGACGTAGCGTCCCTCCATTCGAGAGCCGCATCACGCGATCGCCATTCCCCCTTCCAAAGCCGCCTCCCACAAAATCATCGTCCAAGTCACTGTAATCATCATCGTCATCGTAGCCTTCGTCAGGATCTAAACGATGGCCACCTGACCCTCCACCTCGGCGAGGCGGAGCTTCGAATTCGTTGTCGACCACGATAGCCCCTCCGTGTCGCGTGATTCTGACACCTCCGCCGCCAACACCACTTCGTCGAGGTCCTCCCCCTCGCCTTCGTGGCGGTCGACCGCCAAAAGGGCCCACCGTATCAAAATCATCGTCGTAGTCGTCGTCGTCGTCGACGAGCTCGTCAAAGAGCCAGGCAGGGACATCGTCACATTCCATGCCCGGGGGAAACCGACGTCGTGTCCGGCGAGGTCCCCTACCAAGAGGATCGTCTCGAGAATCTGTAAGCGGTCTTCTTCTGAATAAACCGCCTCCAAAACCGTCGAGATCATCAGAGTAGTAGTCTTCGTCGTCAAAGTCAAAGGCGAAGTCCTCCGGACCCTGACCTGCTGCGCCGCGGGTCACGGGGTCGCCACTGCTGGCGACCAGCCGGCCGTTATTCCACACCTCGAAGCCACTGCCGTTGGCAGCGCTCCATGCGTTAGCACTGACATTGGCGTTGTTGTTGTTGTTTCCTCGGGAACCTATTCCGCGACCTCCTCTGCCGCCCCGTTCAGGGCCATTTGGCCATCCAGATACAGGATCGGGGTAAAATTCTGGTCCTTCCACCTCGCCCAGGTTGCCATGTCCGAAGTATCCTGGCAGTTGACCGGCTCCGTCTCCCTGGTGGTTCTCGCCACACGTACTGCAGCTGCGGTCGCGAGGCGGACGTGGTCGCCTGCCGGGTGGGCGGCCGCGTCTGGACATATCAAATGAGCGGTGCTGCTGTTTTCGAGTCTTTACCAACAGGTAGGTTGATTGACGATAGGGGGTCTTCGCGCGTGCCTACCGCAAGGTAGATGGGGAACCAAGGATGGGAGGATTGATGGATGATGTGGTTCAGACATATTTATGCAGGATTTCGTCATGTCACCCACGCAGTGTTGTGACAATCTGCGCTTCGCCTTGGGACACATATGAAATGTTGTGGATTTATCACTCCACGCGTTGCAACAAACAAGACTAACAGTCAAACAAAGTGACAGAAGGAGATAGCTCATGGGTAACATGGTGTTGAACCACCACGCACAGTCTTGGAGTGATTTGTCCAAAGTTTTGTGAAAGACCAAAATTCCATATGCTTTGAGTGAGTATCAAGGACCAGGGGGGAGAGGGGGGGAGGGGGGGCAGCCCCCTTTCACATTCAGCCTCGCCCGTCCGTTATGGGGGCTCATATCCAGAGGCACAAGAGTTCCCACGACACTTACGGTATAATATTTTATTAAGCTCTCAGATCACTCTCCAGGATGCTTCATCACTAGCTGTCATCAAGTCCACGGCTTGTGTCTGTTTCGGTAACGTCCACAGGAAACATGTCATGGGCGCAAGGCTCAATCCGCCACTTGTCGTGCAGAGTGGTCGCGGATCACGAAAGCCCAGGAAAAGAACAAGGGCTTTTTTGTCCGTAAATATACGCAACACAAAGTGATATCTTGAAAAGAAGACACAAAACGAACAAAAAAGTTCCGATCTGGAGACAAAGGTTGAAATTGATATTCCGGGGACACGACCACAGTGCCTGATAAGGCTGGATGCCAAGATTGCCAATCCGCTAACCTCTTCTAGACGAACAATTAATAAAGATTCAGCTTTACCGCAACTTCATCCCAGCCTGCCAGCCCAACATACAAAGAAATTTGTCCTTCATCCTTGTTGGGTTCTGCACCGAATCCTCAAATCAACATACTTCTTCCGTGATATTTGAGCCGCGAAGAGCGCGTCAGCTGTGAGGTGCATACCACAGAAAAGTTCTAGGCATGGCCCCCAGTCAGTTCACCCTGGGAGACCCTGGGAGACTCTGGAAGGTTGAAGGAGACTGCAGCCCATGGACACCTTCGACGTGCAGCTCTCACAGCAGACTGAAGTAGTCTTCCTTGTCAACGGGCCCTTACACTGGTTCTGGGCTAAACATGTGTCCCTTCATTGGGGCGCAACCCGACCGCCCTGGTGGCACAAAGGCTGAAGGCTTCTACTTCCCATGGCGCTTCCCCTCGAAAGCATTCAACAGACGTTGAATCAGCAGATATGCCACGTTTGATCCGGCTCTGGACCTCAAAATCAGCAGTCGATGACCTGTTGCCACCCTAAACGTTTCACAAGCTTGAACAGATGTGGAATAGTCCTGGGCTGCTGCCACACATGCCTACTTGAGGATTTCAAACTCTCTATGAGCTAGTGCAGCACAAGTATCATTAGTATGTCTTTTCCAACACTATCCGCAATACCAATGTTTACTGTTGGACCATCGTGTGGATTCTAACCACTGCTAGATAGCTTAACAAGCTCTATATATATATCTATCTATCTCTCCTCTATATAACCTTCCAGATCGCCGACCATGCTGCTCTTGCAGCATATCTTCACCATAGGACCAGATCGCCGAGGTTCTGTGATGCCCATCATGCACAGAATCGATTCCTGTCTGGCCGAGTTGAGCCCAATGGTCCCCCCAAAAGTCGACACTATCACAAAGCCATGGCTGGCGAGGACGGGCCTAGGCATTGCCCCTCCCAGAATAGTCCTATAGAACGCCCTGCGAGCCATTGTTTACTGACTCCGACAACAAAGAGACAATTTTGGACTCTCACCCTGTCCACGAACAATGAGCAATGTATCTCGTTGGTGCTTTTCATCATCGATCATTGTTTCACTCATAGTCTGCTTCGACAAAGACCTTTGAAAACTGGTTTGTTGGAGGACTATCCACGCTCTATGGATTAGATCCTGATACCATCTTTGTTGAACTGGTAGACCTCACAAGTACTTAATGCTGTCTCGAGCTTTGGTCCGCTGAGAGACCTGCCAATAACTCATGTTTCGCAGCTTGACAACCGTGTAACTCAGAAGCATTCAAAACAAAAATGGACCAAATTGACTGGATGTGGCTCATGCAGATTGCGCCCCCATGGTGGCAGAGAATCTGCTTCCATCTGGTGGCTTTCGCGCACGCAATAGACGCAGATCTGGTGGATGAGGAAGATATCGAAGAAATTCGGGATTTCGCCCGCGCCATGCCATCTAACTTGTCACTGGTTGCACAGGACGATTTCTGCGGTCTCTTCTGTCACGCCTTGCACGGAGAGCGCGAGAATCGCATCCCACTCATGATGCTCTTCAGAGACAACCTCTCCCAGTCCACAGATGCTCTCAGCAATGACCCCTCCCTCGAAATCGTCCGGGATTTCGCAAGCGAGGGAATTGATTACCTGGCACCCATGGATCGTATCCAGACCGAGATCGAAAATTTCACCACCAACCTAGAGGCGACTCAAGAGGCGACTCAAGTCCTGAAGGATATATGGACTGTGCGTTTCAAGTGGAGTATTGACAATTCACGAGCAAACTTTCCTCAGATTATCGGACTTTTCCAAGGTTATTTGTGCAGAGAGCCCACGGCGGTGCCACCACATCCAAGACTTTCTTTTGTGGAGTACACACATCACTTGACCGCTCCAATGTGGCAGCGCATCTATCAGGCACGACCGAACCTGATTCCACAAGCGCAATTTGCTCCGCCACCGGTACAAGCGCCGGCGTTTGTCTGGGCTGTGGAGATCCCTCCGTGGTTTGAGACCGCCATGTATGTGGAACGAATGTGGCCGCAGAGACAACTTTTGGAGAGTGAGGCAGCTCAAAGCTCACGCGCTCTCCTAGACGCTTGCGATTATGCATATGACATGCTCAATCTCCAAGTTGCTACGAACGATGTTACCGAAAGAGTTTCGTCCATTATCAACGAATTCGTGCTTGAAGTACCCGGTGACGATGCAGGGCACAACGCTATCGACCTCCTCAATCAAAGCATGGTGGAACTGAAGAGTATGTATTTCTTGCAAGAGCAAGACACCAGCGATTTCTCCCTTGAGGATGTGCTTGTCATCCGTGAACGGCTTGAGAGGGAAGAAGGGATGCTCAACCAAGTCCGAGCCCGCACCTTCCAAGCCGAGCGTTATCTGTTGGACAAGGAGGCCTCGATGCTGGCCGATGGCGAGAATTTCTTGGCTGCCGCCTTGCGGTATGAACGGTGCAAATATCGGGAGTTTTTCAGGTCGGCCGTCGCAACCTTGAAGACCGAACGACTGAAGGAGGTCGACTACGCGGCGGACATCCTCCACTCATGGGATGCTGGAGCAGAACCACTAGTTGTGCCCGCCTTCGACGAAGACCATACGATGTGTCCCATTTGCCACGAGGATCTCCCAGAAGACGGCGAAGTTGCGGCCGGTCCAGTGGTGACGCGTTGTTGCCAGAGACCGTTCCATACCCAATGCTTGCTTTCTTGGCTCCTTCAACAGCTACATAGCGAGGATAGCATGACCTGCCCGCTGTGCAGAGCTGAGGTCAATTATGCCTCCCTTGCAAATGTCTTGGAAACGGAGGTGAGACAAATGGACATCTTGTGATTTTGGACAAAGGTAAGTTTATCTTGCGCCAGTGTTTTTTGGGGGCCAGTATGAAGCTTTATGAGGCTGGTCCTCGAGCTGATGGCCGGGGCGTTATGCTGAATTGGTAAGGATGTTAAGTTAGTCCTGGTTATCTTTCATTGATGCCACGCGTTGTATTCTTTGTTCGTATCTAATATCGTTTCCTGCCTCAAAATTAATAAAATCGCCCGTTCATTCTCGGGCTGGTCACAATCTATTCTTTTCAATTCCTGACGTGATAATCGTTCACTCGTTCGTTGTGTCTTAGCAAAGGGAGTCTACAGGCATCCTCCAGGTCTAATCCCGCTAGCTTTTTGGTATATCCCTACAAATTCCTACATGTATATTAATCAAAAAAAACTCTACGACTTCCCAAGTCCAACTGGGAAGGGCTAAATGTCCCTACGCAAGGCACTGCCTCTGATTGGCTCTTAGGAAGCCTCGTCCGCGTGCCAAGAACACAACTACGAGAGCGAGGTAATCCGACGCTGTCTTCCACGTTGATATCACCCGATAACTGTATACAAGTGTATACGCCATTATTCGCGGACAGCCTCTGGCCGAGGAGAACCTCAGATCCAACTGTTTAAAGACAGAGAAGAAGCGATACAGAAATAGATTTGGCGAATCAATACAAAAACTTGGCCTCATAAATCGACAAAGTGACAAAAGACGGTATCAATTGGAAAGAACCCGCGGCACAGAGGCGTCCGCGCAGCTCTGAACTCGGACTCGGACACTTGCAGGCTTCAGACTTTCGACTTTCGACACCCTGACTGCCACAAGGTGTACCAAAAGGGGAACATCGAGCCCCGACTCCTGTCCACCATGACGCCCCCGACACTCCCACTGGTCCCGTCCCTTTCGGCCTCTCGACAAGCACCACTCCTCTTGCCCCTCGAGCCATTGACACCGGCGGCATTCTCCGCCTTCGGCACCGCCATATCTCCGCCCTTTGAACCGTCGTTGACGACGCCTCCGCGCTCAGCCGCATCTATCCCCGTTCCGCTTCACTCGCCGCACCAGCCCGCGCCGGTGTTTGCGAACCAGAATTCCGCGCTGAAGACGTCCCCCATCTCGCAGTTCACTAATAACTATCCCGTCGCCCCGGCGCCGGCCTCACAGCCCCAGATGAGCATGTTCTCGTGCTTCCCGCGAAACCTGAGCGGGATCGGGATCGAGACAGCCCCGTCGTCGGGCGAGACCATCTTCCGCGTCTCCATCCTCGAGCGACACCCGTACACGACTCAGACGTTCTGCCCGCTTGGTCTCTCCGCCGCGGACTCATCATCGGCCGTGTTTCTCGTCGTCGTGGCGCCCTCGCTGCCCGTTTCAACCACAGCCGCCACCCTCACACCCGGCGCTGGCGCAGTGACCGTCGCCAATCCCCCGGATCTCACCCATCTGCGCGCCTTCATCGCTAGAGGCGACCAGGCTGTCACGTATGCCCCCGGCACATGGCACGCGCCCATGGTCGTGCTGGGCCAGCGACGGGTCGATTTCCTCGTCACGCAGTTTGTCAACGGCGTGGCGGAGGACGATTGTCAGGAGGTGTTACTGGGACGGAATCACGTCGGGGTGGATCTGAGTCGGCTGGGGTTGCTGGGCGGGGATGGAAATGGAAACAAGGCGAGAGGCCCAAAGTTATAAGGCTCATTTTCTGTTAAAAAGGGGCTTGGGGCAGCATTGTGGCAGTGGACATGTCTGGACAGCAATAGGCAGTCGGCTGTGGGAGATATTCTTTTCTTCTTCTGCATGGACATGCCGCCAAAACGGGACATACTCAAAGGGGTATCATTTGCCAATCCAAAGCAAACACTGATAACACGATCCGGCTATCGATCGCCATCGCAAAAACGCCACCGTTGGCGGCATTTTCCAGATCAGGAGAGCTTGATATCCAAAGCCGACCTAGCCAATAATGGAGGGTTGAAGACGAGCGTCACTTTCCCCCTTCAAGCTTCGTCACTAACCTCTTCATGCCCACCCACTCATCCATGCTGGCCTCGCCGTTCCCGCATTGCAGGCCCTTGCCGACGTCGAATACCGTAACAACGCCATCGAGCCCGCCGACGGCCATGTGGCTACCTCGTTTCTCCTCCCACGCTACCTTGTTCAACCCCTTAAATGGGACCACCCCGTTCTTCCCCCTTGTGGGACTTACTTTGGCAATGGGGACTTCCAGGTCATAGCTGAGGTCAAACACCTCCAACTCTCCCGCACCAGTGACGCAAGCGAAAACCGACGGCTTATGCGGCGCCCATTTTGCATCGTAGACGAGGTCTTCTCTTGCAAGGTTGAGGATGGGGCTCAGAACTGTTGGCGCCGCCCCTCCTGCTGCGATAGTCGAGGCACTCGTGCTAGAACTTGCAGCGGGCTTCACCCGCCACAATTTGACAGACCAGTCAGAGCTGGAACTCAGCAGTAAATCCCCTAGATCAACGGGTCCTCGCGCAGGATGGAATTGCGAGGACATAACAGGTGCCGTGTGTCCTTTGTAGGCCACGCGAGTGTCCACGCCCGCTTGAGCCCCTGCGCGATCATACCGGTGGCATGGGTAAATGGTGCCTTCTTCGGTGCCGACAAGGAAGAAGGTGGGGTCTGCGGCGGGAAAACTCATGCTTGTAGGAGCAAGGTCGTCAGTTTTAGCCGGGGGTGGAGTGTTGAGGACGAGATATTCTTGGGCTTGTGTGAGCATGTCCACCGACCATGAGCAGACAACGCCGTCCATCGAGGCAGTGATGATATTATGAGCATTGGGCGTCCCCACGACACTTATGCTGTAGACTGGGTGCGTGTGGCCCAAGTGGGATCCAGATTGTGGCGTTTTCTGGACTGGTTGCCCTGTACGTCCCGAGGTTCTAGTATCCCACAGGCATATTTGACCGGAATAGCAGCCGCCAATGACGAGATTAGGATGAAACGGTGAGAAACGAGCCGACAGAACGTCGGACGACGCCGTGAAAACGTACTCCGGCCGAGACGGTGCATGAGTATTCCACAGCAGAACCAGACCGGCCGGTTCATGAGGGGCAGAAGGATTTTTGGTGTATGAAGACAAGAGAAGTTCATTAAAGTGGGGAGAGAACTGAATATCCGAGACAATGCGTCTGCGTGTGTATCGGTCGGAGAACAACTGAAAAGACTCGCGTACAGAATGGGACTTTTTGCCGGTTCGCGAATAAGGAGTTGCGTCATTGTCGTCATCGTCATCAAGCGTTGATGTACGGGTATAGTCTGCCAGCAGGTCATACTCGTCGTCGATATCGAGGGCACGCTCAATGACTTTTGAAGAACGCTCGACGAAGGAAACGAATTCGGGCGAGGCAACCACGGCATTGAGCTCTGTATTGGTGAGCATGCGCAGGGGAAAGCGGTGCTGCTGATGAGAACCGGTCGATAATGAGATTATAGATTCCCGATTGCGCGTTGCTTGTAACTCTTCCTCAATTTCCTTCCGCAGTGCCAACCGTATTTCTTCATCCCTCTCTTGGTCACGCCGGCTGAGCCGTTTTCTCTGTCGCAATGATAGCTCATCATCGTCGGACGGTTCTTGTGATTTAACAGGTTCTTCGAGGTATGGTTCTGTCTGCACGCCCTTGGTGTACGTGATATACTCCTTTTTCGAAGGGATAGGCTCATGGGCGGAAGCGTCGACTTCATTAGGGAACGAAGTATCCGTGCTCTCGGTCTGCGTGGCTATTGATTGCATCAACCTCTTTGGCGATGGTTCGACATCTTGCTGGGGACTGAGTTGTCCTGTGCCCTGAATTGAACTAGGTCGACTAGCACGTCTGCTGGGCGATGCGGCCACATCTTTGTCTCGTTGCCGATCGATTAGACTGGAGACGAGGTGATCGATCTCGGACCTGCGCTCCTCGGCGGTTTTGCCAGGTGAAGGGGCCTAGTGATGGTGAGCGTCGACTTCGATTGAGGCTAAATAGGTCCATACCTCCCCAATACTCTGTCGACTCGACGTATATTGTTCCTGGCGCAGCTCCCTCTGTCGCCGTAGCTCCGCAAGGCGAGCCTTCTTGGCCAATAGCTCGTCCTTACGCGATGACATGGTGAACTGAAATTCGGGGCGCCGATGGGCAGTAGATAGAACGGTTGACAGAGCGGAGGATGAAGTGCGCGCATGTCGAGAATCGCGCAATCACGTGACAAAGAAATCCAAAAAGACGCAGGGATAAGCTCGGTCTTCCCAAGAAACAATTTGCAGCTTCAACTATCCGCAGCAGCCATTTTCAGATTCTCTCGACGCCACAGTCGTTCTCAAGCAGAAGTGAACGGCTCAAGGAAATCAGTCGCACACTCGAGCTCTGATAGTCGGGCTCTAGCTTTTGCGGCTCAGGTGCGGCTCAGTCACAATGTCAACATCCCAAGGAGTTAATGTACGCACCTCCCAATGGCCCAACATTTCGAGATGCTCGATCGATGGGGCTTTGCTGCGTCACACACGAATTGCTGATTATGTACAGGTACTCCGGTGGTCAGCTCTCGTTGCCGGTATTTTCTACGGATTTTCGCATCAAAGAACCATCAATGCACATTCTGCAGCTGCACGCGAGAAGGCCGAATACGATCACAAACTCGAATTAATACAAAAAGCCAAGCTGGAATGGGCGAAGAAGACGCTGCCTCCTCAAGCCAAGACGGCCAGTGATGACAGTATGTGAACACTACGATCTGACTGCAGCTCATAGACCTGTGAAGCCATAGAACTGACAAGGAAATAGTCATTACGGATCCCAATGACAAGAATTTCGATCTCGAGGCATACCTAACAAAGCTTTCCGCAGAAAGCTGAGCAATGACGCCGGGCAACGGAGCGAGGTGACCTAAAAGCTGGGGATGGGTGATATCTCGAAAAGCTTGGAGAAACCAACAATAGACACGGGCGTTGATTCGAGTTGATACCCAAGTGATTCTGGTTCTAGGGATGGCGGACGCTACCCTTGCACCAGAATGAAAGCGCTGGCGGATCGCATACAGCTTGTACATACTGGTTGAAGGCACGCGCTGTTCTAATCTGTGCTGCATGTAAAATCATGATCCAATTGACAAGAAAAGAGGAAATGTGTCTGTTTGCCAGCTGATACTTTTCGCCAACCAGACCGTTGCCTTTTTCCAAACGGGTCGTATGTGGGAAGCAAGGCCAGAGTGCGAAATATAGGGAGCACCTAGCCCAGGCACAGCTTCTGGAAGCTCTCAGATCTTTGTTGACACCGCTGCGTGCTCTGCACCTACTCTATGTTTACCGCCTCCCGTTGAATACAACAGCATAAAATACCCGGCCTCTCTGCACGAAGCATATTTCCTAGTAAGGCATGTGCTATAAACTTCAGCAAGCATCAACGGGCGGAGTTTGCAGCCTTCATGTCCAATAGACGCTCGAGTGACCCTCGGATAGGGATCATTGAATCAGGCGGTATGTGATCCTGACAAAAGGATCCAGTCAGCCCTTGTGCACTACCCTCCCTCATTATCTCCGCATACCAAGTATGTACGGATGTATGGCGGGAACGAAGGCAGCAAAGCAGTGTCTGCCAGTGAATTGGGTCGCTTTCAATTGATTTTAGTGGATAACGTCCGTCTCAAGTACAGTCACGTGATGACACGGAAGCTTCAGAAAAAAAGTACAACTGGATGAATGGAGTGATACACTTTTCACACCAGGACCCATGCGGAAGAAGCCTGCGATTCATCTCTGGTTGGATGACACCCCTGGTTGTTCCCCTCAGGTGTCACATTTTCACTGGGTCAACGGAGACTGGAACCGTCACTCGCAAACGCAATCCAGCCCATCTGTCCGATCGATCTCTGGTCAGACGCCAAAATTCTCGACAACTGAACGAGAAACTGTTCTTGAGAACATGCAGGGACAGGGCGGCAACGGTAACGGCCCTTTCTGCCTTGCGAACACGACAGCTTGACCAGATCATACGGCATGGGCTCCCTGTTCCTGAGAGTGTCGACTTGGAATAAGAAGGGTGGCAAGAGTTGCCACTGCGCACCAATTCCGGCATGGAGCTAACAGTGGATAATTAATAGGACGATGGTGCAAAGACCTTTTTGGACCGCCAACTGGAGACGGCGGTTCGGAACCGCAAACTGAATCACCGCTTTTCTCCTCCCTGTCCTTGTTGAACACCCCTTGGGAGCTTGCAACAATTCGAGCTCCTCCCAGCCACCACTTTGGGCTTTGATCCCACCCTTCCCCCGTCAAACCTTTCTGCTCGTCGAATGAGAAGCCACGCTCCACGGACAAACACCGTACTAGAGTGCCAGAAAAGAGCTAGACTCCAGAAGTTTGATGGCAAGTCACAGGAGGGTGTCAATACGCTATACACTTCATTATTTGTGCGCATACATGAAGCTATGACGAAAAGCAGCCTGTCCATGGACGATCGGCACCCTTAGAGACCCTGATGCAATTCTTACTCAGGCAGAGAGATATTGCAACAAGTCCCGAGATCGAATCTACGAATGGTATTGGCGCCAACCCCGCAAAGATTCGTCTTCCGAGAAGGCCGTGCCCAGAGGCATTTCTGCATCATGCCAACCAGCCCAGGTAGCTGGTCCTCCCAAGACGCTTTGGGATGCATCCATTTTGGGTGTTGCAGAATCCCAAAGCTCTTGGCCTAATATTCTCACATGCCCGTGCCCTTCGTGGCCCCAAAAACTCCGGAGGAAAAACCCTGGAATAGAACTGGTCGATCAGAGGTCGATGATCGTCAAGCGCTTGTTCAAAGTCAAGCAAACAAAACAACAATCCCGTCACATCGCCGGCGCCTTTCCTACCCCAGTATTTCCCCGCAGCTCGGGTACCAGTTCAGTCTGTTAGTCACCGTCCTAGTGTCGAGCTTGAAGGCGCCGCCTCGTCTGATCATTGGCGGAGAGTCTACACACCTTGAGTTGTATTCTGGAGATTGGGCTTGATCCAGGTCAATAATACCCTGTCTACCTCTGCGAGTGGTGGGTTTCTGGCCAGGACCCTTGCTTGTCCGCTCTGTCAAGTATCTGGCTCAATTTCGCGGCTTGCTACAAGTGTATTTGTGCATACGTCTCCACCAAGCACACAACGATGGCGTTCGGTTGAGCGGGTTAGGGGCTCTCCTCTCCACCGAGAGGAGAATCATCGATCGAGCTCTGTGACGCGACCATCATGATGGCATATATTATTTGGATCCCTCCCTGCCCAGTCTCATGGACAGAAGGATCTTTGTGTGCTTGTGTTTCTTGCTACAGCCTCTGCAGAGCTTTCTTCCACTTTGAAACTAGGCCGAGTCCTTTGAACCTGGACTTTATACCTGCGGGCAGCATCAATACCCTGTACCGACCCAAAGTTCTTCCCTAAAGCATAGAACATTATCAATATGGCCGCCAACGTTCCCGACGTCGAGAAGGATCATGCCGGTAGCGACTCTGTCAACGGCAAATATGACCTTCACCACGACCACCACAACGAGGAGTCTGCACTTAGGAGAATCCGGACCGCCGGAAGCATTTCCATCACACCAGAGCTCTTCGAGAAGATCTACCTGTCACCCAAGAACCGGGTCTCTAACAACATTCGGTCAACCTTTGGTAACCCGACTCCTCTGTATGTGTTCCGGCCTCTCCTGTTTATTCCACCCACTGACCAAAGTTAGTGCTCTCGTCGGATTTCTGCTGTCTTTGACTCCTCTTTCGAATGTCCTCCTTGGATGGCGCGGAGCTGGTGGCCTCGGCGCGGCTGAAGTGTAAGTACTGAAAAGCACCTTGGGATACTGTCTCGATCTGACGGTGGATGCGCAGGGGCGTCTACTACTTCTTCGGCGGTCTGCTCATGGTGTTGGGTGCCTTCTTGGAATTCATCCTGGGCAACACCTTCCCCTTCGTCGTCTTCGGCTCCTTTGGCGCTTTCTGGCTCTCATTTGGAGCGACCCTGACACCATATTTCAACGCATCCATCGCCTACGATCCTACAAACCCAGCACAGTCATCCTCAGATCCGGTGTTCGGTTCTACATTCGCCTTCTTCCATGTTTACATGTCGGTGTTGTGCTTTATCTACTTCATCATCGCCCTCCGAACCAACCTCGTCTTCGTGCTCATCTTTGCCCTGCTCGTTGCCGCCTTTGCATGTCTGGCAGAATTCTTTTTCGAGATTGGCGAGGGAAAGGTCAACCTCACCATGCAACACTCGGCCGGAGGGATCACGTTCGCCGTGTGTCTGCTGGGCTGGTACCTCTTCTTCGTGCAACTTCTTGCCGCTGTTGACTTCCCTCTCAACCTCCCTGTGGGCGACCTCAGCCGATACATCAGGGGCGCAAGTGAGAGGGCTGAGAAGACCGAATGAACGAATCGGAGCTGTGAGGGGGTCTGTGCATAATCAGAACTGGTAAGACGAAGCATGAAGGGTGGGATCGGCGTGCGTTGGCAAGGCATGGACCGGAAAATTCTTTTGCAGAAGGTTGGGAGGACTGCATGGGGTTCCAGTCTCCCGCAGCTGCAGAACTGTTGGGTAGTAAAGCAATGAGAAGACGACAGAAGGTTTACTTCCGACTCATTACGATACGACAGCTGTTTTGAGTAAAAAATTATGTTTTTAATCTGTGAATGTAACGCAAAGGGATCTTCAATGCATCCAATCTGTACAAGTGCACCAAGAGTGTCTGCGACAGCTTCGTTGTGGCAACCTGACGTCGAGAAGGGTTTGCAACGAGGCTGTGCGAGGTATACGGCGTAGGGGACGGTGAGGAAGCGTTAGGAGGATTCAAGCCGATTGCAGAGGTTCCGAACAGCTGCAGGAGGATGCTGTACAACGCACCCGGATAGCTTGGATTGTGCAGACAGCAGCGGGGGAGGGCATGACCCGGACCGAACACTGCATTGTCCAGGTCCAGAACAATCATTCCACCCGTATCGGGAGAAAAGGAGAGCGGATCAACGACCAAGTTTGGATGTCGCCATCCCAATTTCCTCTCGTCCGGAGCGAGGCTGATTGGGCTTCGAGGCTTCCCGACACAAGTGTACCCCGTACCTAGCGAGTACCTTTGTTAGACCTGCCAAAAACAAAAACCTGACAGGGCTCCCAACCCTACCTCCTACACAGCATGTTACCGCAAAGTGACGCGAGGTTATGCTTGACTCACCGAAGCTCAGGTCCTGAAACACACCGCTGACGAACCCCGTCGCAATAAACTAGGAGTTCGGCGGGTTCTCGTAGTGCGCGGAAGCGGACTTCCAGGGCTAGACAGCGGGCGGATTCGTGGTTGCATTTTCAGTCCCTCTAGCCGCTCTGCTAGGGCTTGGAAGCTTGGGGGTTAGGCATAAAGGCAATGCTACAGAATGAATCCACATGCTGGAGGCCTTTCGTTTCGCGGGAGGAATGAGGGATGGAGCTCGGGTCAAATGTACGGAGTACAGAGTATGGGATATAGAGGACTTGATGTAGAATATGGGCGTGGAGTCTGGAACAATACGGAGTCAGGATCATGGAGCATCGACTTGCACATGCGCTGCGAAGGCAGTTTCTACTCGGTATTTGTGCAGTTACTACGGCGGAAAGTTGTTCCGATCCAGTGCCAAGCAATCGCGAGACTGACCGCCAGCCTTCAATCCAGCCACGCAACTTGCCAGACGTTACAACTTCTCTGAGATGCCCATCATTCGCTCAATTTCTGCTGGCATTCTGAGACCGACAGCCTAAAAGGGTCATAGCAGCTCTTCCACCTCGGAAGCTGATTGGCAGGATAGGTTGTTATTGTATCTTCACCGCATGGTCGGGATTCAAATCTGGGCCACACCCTTCTTGACGTCCAT